TGAGAACTGTCACCTCAACATTGTCTTTTAATATTATGATCCTTACATCAAGTTTTTAAAGTAAATTGATTAAATGTAATAATGTTATTATATGTTAAACAACATGAGAAACTCATTCCTATCTTTTAGTATATGACAAGATTCTTAAAGGGGCATTGTAGGCACTGTATCTGCTTCATCTAATTAATCTGGTTATAGTGTCTGGAGCCCCCCAGTTGCCATGTTTGCATTCAGCATTAAATAGTTTTTCATGTTTTTATATTTTAACACTAAACGAGATTCCTCAGCAGCCCATCTGCTCTATGCTGCTTTGGCAAATGAGAAAGTATTAGCCTGAGCAGCAGTTGGCAGCTGTGATTGTCTGAGTGTCATCTGACTGCTTTTAGCCTATCAGGACTTACATTAACGGTAGGAATGGGTATGATTACAAGGAAGTGTGTAATCTTTGCCCAAGTCACACCTCTGGAAGAGGTCGGACTGTAAGTGGCCAGGGACCCTTATTTAGTGTTAAACTGCTCTAAAATGGTTTAACACTGAATGGAGGGAAAGTGCCAGGGGACTCCACGCACTATAACCAATCGCAAAGATTTGAATATTTAGTTATATTGACGATAGTATTTAATTTAGTTTTTTTTATATATATATATATATATATATATATAAACACAGTGTGCATTATGTAAATTGGATACATATAGGATTTATAGGATATCAATATAAATTTAGAATTATAAATAACATGTATGTGTGCACTTAAACAGAAAAGGTGAGGTTGGGGTAGAATGAACGCACATCAAAAGTGACAAAAAGGCCTTAGTCTCAACCCTCTTAAACACATCACATCTCATAAGAGTCCCTTGATCCTTAAAGGGACACTTCACTGCCCATATACAAAATAAATACAAAAAACACTGTTTTGTACATATACCACAAATGAAAACTTGCATGCCTCTAATTATGAATTTTTTCATTTGAGTTATATTTAAAACTTCTAAAACCTGCAGTTCTCTTGTCTGGTGTCTTTGCAGGCCCTCCCCTTCTAACCCCACACAGACTTTCTGTGGCTGTCCAATCACAGTATTATGTATAGCAGATAAACCTCTATGGAAGGAGGAATATGGAGTCCTGTGCAGTTTCTTAGCATTGTCTCTAGCTTAGAAAATAAGAATATCCTAGCAAGATACGGACGTCAAGTGGAGTGTTAGTAAAAGAGTGCATGCAGGGCCGGCGCCACCATTAAGGTGAATGAGGTTTCCCGGTGGGCTGCCCTGCTGCTGTCTGTGGATGCTGTGCTGGGCGAGCGGCTCCTTAGCCACCCCCCAGTGCAGCCATTCAGCTGCTGTAAATTACCTGCTTGGGGAGCTGAATGTGCACCCGAGCACAGCACTGTGCTTCCTGCAGGCAGGGGAAGCCGGGATGTAACCTGGTATCCTGGATGCCCCCTGCCTGTGAACACAGGAAGCACTCTGAGGGGAACAGAAAGCAGCTTGTGCTCACAGAGCAGGGCTCTCCTGCTCTCCCAGGAGGAAGAAGAGCAAGATCCTGTAGCCTGGATCTCTTCTCATCACCCATGTAGGCTCAGGGGGATTGTTTATAATATTAATGTTTGTAAATTGGTGTGTGTGTTAAATTACTGTGTTTGTGTGTGTAAATAAAGTGTGAATATATGTAGAGTGGTGTGAGTTTGTGTTTGAGTGTTAGGGAGAGTGTGCAAGTGACTCTGTTAGTATGTGCAAGTGACACTGGGTGTGTGAGTGTGCAAGTGACACTGTGTGTGGTGTTAGTAAGAGTGTGTAACTGACAATGTGTATGTTGGTGAGAGTGTGCATGTCAGTGAGAGAGTTTGTTTGTGTTAGTGAGAATGTGTAAGTGACACTGTGTATGTCAGTGAGAGTGTACAAGTGACAATGTATAGGTCAATGAGAATGTGTATGGGTTAGAGTGTGTAAGTTAGTTAGAATGTGTAAGTGTGTATGCCAGTGAGAGAGTGTGTGTATTAGTGAGATTGTGTAAGTGACACTGCAAAGGTAATTATTGCAATGGTTAAGAAAATGAAATAATTACGGTTCTCGGTTAACGTTAAAGGACCACTATAGTGCCAGGAAAACATACCCTCAGGGTCCCCCTCCCGCCCGGCTCTGGAAGGGGGAAAGGGGTTAAAACTTACCTTTTTCCAGCGCTGGGCGGGGAGCTCTCCTCCTCCGATCCTCCTCTTCTCCTCCCCGTCGGCTGAATGCGCACGCGCAACATAATGCTTTCCTATGGACGCTGGCGTGCTCTCACTGTGAAAATCACAGTGAGAAGCACGCAAGCGCCTCTAGCGGCTGTCAATGAGACAGCCGCTAGAGGGAATGGGGGAAGGCTTAACCCATTCATAAACATATTATTAAAAAATGGGTTAACCCTAGCTGGACCTGGCACCCAGACCACTTCATTAAGCTGAAGTGGTCTGGGTGCCTAGAGTGGTCCTTTAACTCCTCTAGTGGCTATGCATGGAGATGTTCAGCGTCATGCAAAACCTAGTGTCATGGAAATACCACTGCAGCGCAGCCATTAAGGAGCGAAGGTGGACCCAAACCAGCACATTGGTGCTGGACCTAGGTAAGTGACAGAAGGGGTTTTAACCCCTGCTTCACCACGAGGTGGGTGTGCTTGACAGAGGGGGGAGCTATAGTGCCAGGATAACAAGTTTGTTTTCCTGGCACTATAGTTTCCCTTTAATGCCTACTCAGTGCGTCTCTTTCCCTAAATGTCTCTTCACTGTAATTCAGAGTTTAGTGAATAAACATCTAAAGGGAATGTAGTTGCATTCATGAGGGGGCGGCAAAATGGATTGTTGCCTAGGGCGGCAAGAATCCTTGCACTGGCCCTGAGTGCATGCTATACTAACGGATGGTATGATTATCAGATTTGGTATAGTATAACAATATATAGAAACATAGAATGTGACGGCAGATAAGAACCATTCGGCCCATCTAGTCTGCCCAATTTTCTAAATACTTTCATTAGTCCCTAGTCTTATCGTATAGTTAGGATAGCCTTATGCCTATCCTACGCATGCTTAAACTCCTTTACTGTGTTAACCTCTACCACTTCAGCTGGAAGGCTATTCCATGCATCCACTACCCTCTCAGTAAAGTAATACTTCCTGATATTATTTTTAAACCTTTGTCCCTCTAATTTAAGACTATGTCCTCTTGTTGAGGTAGTTTTTCTTCTTTTAAATATAGTCTCCTCCTTTACTGTGTTGATTCCCTTTTATATATTTAAATGTTTCTATCATATCCCCCCTGTCTCGTCTTTCCTCCAAGCTATACATGTTAAGATCCTTTAACCTTTCCTGGTAAGTTTTATCCCGCAATCCATGAACCAGTTTAGTAGCCCTTCTCTGAACCCTCTCTAAGGTATCAATATCCTTCTGAAGATACGGTCTCCAGTACTGTGTACAATACTCCAAGTGAGGTCTCACCAGTGTTCTGTACAATGGCATGAGCACTTCCCTCTTTCTACTGCTAATACCTCTCCCTATACAACCAAGCATTCTGTTAGCATTTCCTGCTGCTCTATTACATTGTCTGCCTACCTTTAAGTCATCAGAAATAATCACCCCTAAATCCCTTTCCTCATATGTTGAGGTTAGGACTCTAGCAAATATTCTGTACTCTGCCCTTGGGTTTTTACGTCCAAGATGCATTATCTTGCACTTATCCACATTAAATGTCAGTTGCCACAATTCTGACCATTTTTCTAGTTTATATGAGGTCTAGGAATAGGTAAACAGTAAGTGATACCACCAGGTTAACCATTAGTAAGTAAAATAAGAGTTGCATAACTAGAGGCAAGCCAAGGTCATTGTATGAGCCGATGCCTGTGTACCAAAAAGCCCTCCAGTTCAATTGGTAGGGCTTCTATCTTGTGAGACACCTGATCCACAAGCAGCCTTACAGGGTTGTGGATAGCAGATGGGCATAGATTCCATTTTGGCTCTTGGCCCAGAAGATTAACAGATCGCTGAAATGCAGCTGAAGACCTCCACTGCTGCAGTTGATGTGAGTGGTTGCTACTTCTGGCGGGACTCGATCCAGGTCCAAAAGGCTGTACAGACTGCATCAAAAACTACATGGAATCTGGTCTCCCAATGGGAAAATTAGTGCTCAATCAGTGTGGTGGCCAACTTGGGCATGCCACGAGGATCTTACTTTATTCATTTGCCTTTAAAGACCAGTCTCTTGCTCTGGTGGGGACCGGGATAAGGGGGGTAATGGGGCTTCAGAGAGGCTTCAGAAAGCAGTGCATTCCAGAACAGGAGATCAGCCGCTTCTCCCAGTCGCCAGTCACCGTAGGCCGCAGAGCTAAATCTACAGTATCTCACAAAAGTGAGTACACCCCTCAAATTTTTGTAAATATTTTATTATATCTTTTCATGTGACAGCACTGAAGAAATGACACTCTGCTACAATGTAAAGTAGTAAGTGTACAGCCTGTATAACAGTGTAAATTTGCGCTCCCCTTAAAAATAAGTCAACACACAGCCAGTAATGTCTAAACTGTTGGCAACAAAAGTGAGTACACCCCTAAGTGGAAATGTCCAAATTGGGCCCAATTAGCCATTTTCCCTCCCCGGTTTCATGTGACTTGTTAATGTTATAAGGTCTCAGGTGTGAATGGGGAGCAGGTGTGTTAAATTTGGTGTTATCGCTGTCACACTCTCTCATACTGATCACTGCAAGTTCAACATGGCATCTCATGGCAAAGAACTCTTTGAGGATTTGAAAAAAAGGAATTGTTGCTCTACATAGAGATTGCCTAGGCTATAAAAGATTGCCAAGACCCTGAAACACGGTGGGCAAGACCATACAGCAGTTTCACAGGACAGGTTCCACTCAGAACAGGCCTCACACACACAGCACACTACCAGCACCCTCACACACACACACACACACACACACACAGCACCCTCACACACACAGCACCCACACAGCATCCTCACACACACAGCACCCTCACACACACAGCAGTGTATGTATGTGTGTGTGTGTGTGTATGTATGTATGTATATATATATATATATATATATATATATATATATATATATATATATACACATACATATACACGTGGAGTGTGTGTTTGTGCTTTAGGGTGCACAACCGTATGCAATAGGCTGCCCACGCCTATGCATATGAGTGCTGCCAGCATTTCTGCAGAGGTTGAAGGGTGGGGAGTCAGCCTGTCAGTGCTCAGACCATACACCGTACACTGCATCAAATTGGTATGCATGACTGTCGTCCCAGAAGGAAGCCTTTTCTAAAGATGATGCACAGGAAAGCCTGCAAACAGTTTGCTGAAGACAAACAGACTAAGGACATGGATTACTGTGGTCCGATGAGACCAAGATATACTTATTTGGTTCTGATTGTGTCAAGTGTGTGTGGTGGCAACCAGGTGAGGAGTACAAAGACAAGTGTGTCTTGCCTAAAGTCAAGCATGGTGGTGGGAGTGTCAAGGTCTGGGCCTGCCGGCACTGGGGAGCTACAGTTCATTGAGGGAACCATGAATGTCAACATGTACTGTGACATACTGAAGCAGAGCATGATCCCCTCCCTTCGGAGACTGGGCCGCAGGGCAGTTTTCCAACATGATAAGGACCCCAAACACACCTCCAAGACGACCACTGCCTTGCTAAAGAAGCTGACGGAACAGGTGATGGACTGGCCAAGCATGCCTCCAGACCTAAACCCTATTGATTATCTGTGGGGAATCCTGAAACAGAAGGTGAGGGAGCGCAAGGTCTCTAACATCTACCAGCTCTGTGATGTCATCATGGAAGAGTAGAAGAGGACTCTAGTGGCAACCTGTGAAGCTCTGTTGAACTCCATGCCCATGAGGGTTAAAGCAGTGCTGGAAAATAATGGTGGCCACACAAAATATTGATACTTTGGGCCCTATTTGGACATTTCCACTTAGGGGTGTACTCACTTTTGTTGCCAACAGTTTAGACATTCATGGGTGTGTGAGTTATTTTGAGGGGACAGCAAATTTACACCATTATACAGGCTGTACACTTACTACTTTACATTGTTGCAGAGTGTCATTTCTTCAGTGTTGTCACATGAAAAGATATAACAAAATATTTACAAAAATTTGAGGGGTGTACTCAGTTTTTGTGAGATACTGTAAGTGAGAGTCCAACAGACTTGAACACTCCTCGCATATAATGTAGTCTCGGTCCGCAGCAGAGACAGGAGGGTTTATTCATCTCAGAAAAGTTTTTTTTTCAGCAATAGTTTAAAATTCGGAGAGTCAGAACTATGCTAAGACTCATCCAGTCACCTTTAGCACTAGGCACTGATTTTTTTTTTTTTTAAAGTGGTCATAAATTCCAAAAAGGGGAAAGCAAAGATAAAGATATTGTTTGCAAATAGCCTTCAATTCCTTAATTCACAGTGATGTGCATGGAATCTTCAGATATTGTGCACTGTATCCCAGTTCAATCCTGTTGATGTATTAGCTGTGATGGATGTTACAGTCAGCAAATGTGCACTCTCTCTGTGATATTTGTGAATCTCGAAAAAATTGGGAGCTGGTGTGAATAATTAATAAACATGTAAAGCACATTTTAGTTGTAAGTCTTTTTTTAAGTAAACAATGAGTGATGAACAAGTTTAACTGAGATAATGGGGGTTAGAAGACAACAAGAGGTAATTAAAAAATAGAAATGTACTGTATGTGATCTTAAACAGCTGTAAATAGGGGGAGTTTCTTTCCATGAGGGAGGTCAAAACACTATAGAGTTCTGCTGAGACTAGGCTAACTTCAACAGCAATCAGCAGCACAACACCCAAAACCCTCTTACCCAGGCTTCCCCATACTCCGGCCCTCCAGATGTTGCTGAACTACAACTACCATGATTCTTAACCTATTTCATTAATAGAATCATGGGAGTTGTAGTTCAACAACATCTGGAGGGCCAGAGTTTGAGGAAGCCTGCGTCTTACCCAACCCTGTTACCTTCGGGGACAGTTTTAATCATTTGAGGAGGACGAAAGGTGATACACTTGACTGTGGTGCCCATCTTCTGTGCCCATCCTGGCAAGACCCAGACACCATAACCCTATCTGACTTCGACTTGGAAGCAAGTTGTGCGATGCACACTGAAAAACCTGACAACTCTGTATGCTTGGAGAAGTACAAAAGGACTTCCCTGAATACATATCCATTGAATTGCTTTCAGAGGCCGACTTCCAGAAGCAGAACTGCTCATGGATCAGGCACATTGAGCCCTTCACTCTCTGAACACCAATTCGGTGCTGCCAAGAGATGTCATAGTGCGCAAGTACCTCTTCCACATTAAAGAATGCTTCAAGTAAAAGGTATGCTGGTTGCAAGCATACTTGCTTTGCTTCTTTCATGTTTAGGAAATCAGCAAATTAGTTCTGACACTCTTGGCTGCTTTTTCTATTTAATCAACAGAAAGTGTTAATTGAAGTTCTTTGCAAAGCTTCTGGGAGCCCTCTTTAATTGATTCTTGTTAAACATGTTTCACTGAAACTACTATTCCCCTGAACTTCCTAGGAAAGCAACATACTTTAATCTGACAATGCTTTCCTAAGTTTTGATTTTTTGCTTGTGCGAAGTTTTAATGATCTGGAACTGTTCATATCTTCAGGGCTTATAGAAGACTTCAGTTACATTTCAAAGCTAAATGGTTTCATTGATAAAAATGTTTCCATAAGATATGATATATGTGAAACACTATTGTAACTTTTTTTTTCTCTCTTCATTCATATGACTGTACATGTTTAAATTTGCATATAACCAAATGGATACCCTATCCCCAATATATCTACAATGCGATAGTGTTCTAGTCCTAGCCCAAAGCTTAGTGGCTCTTCAATGGAAGCTGTGTAACATTCCTTACATTGGCAAACTGCAGCCCTTATTTACGCTTTTTGCACTGGTTTGTAAGACTAGTTCCTACCCCCTAAGGATAATTGGTGGAACCATCCTAATCCTAACTTTTGTGTGATTTCAGACGTAGTTTAGAGTTAGGGGAGCCAGAGCTCTGCTAGTTATTACTATTAACTTGCCTTAGTAGCATGCACTCTCACACAGACATTTCCAGGACATTCTAAATTGTACAGAACCATGCTCTACTAGAAGGAAGAAGCGGTCTGCAACCTCTTCCTTTCTAATACTCTCTCCCTCTCTTTCCTTAGTCCTCAACCTTTCCTGTATATGATCTGAAGGTACCATTAGGTCACCCAGCCACCCTAAAGTGACACAAAGGATAATCCAATTTCTCTATCTCTTCTTTCTCTGTTGACTTTCTTATGATTGCATAGGTCCCTGGACCATATCCCTACCTGTTCCTCTTCCTACATCTTGTTCTGTTTTCTGTTAAATAAGCATACACATTGTATTTTCTATGTGCCTTAAATTGAACTGTATCTCGATAAATGCTAAGGGCCTCAACATTGCAGCTAAAATACACAACCTCCTTTTTGGGACTCCAATGCAGAAGTTATATTGGTACAAGAGATTCACTTTACAGACTCACACCACTTCCCTC